GTAAATATGCTGTAAATAATAATAATAATAATAATAATAATAATAATAATAATAATACCTTAAGTTATTGTAGAAATTCCAAGTTTTACAGTGAACAATGAACCTATCAGCAGATACAATGCCATCTACAAAAGGCAGTGATCAGGTTTATTTTATCTTTATGATCAAAACCAGATGGTGTGATGAAAAGCTGAAGAGCTTTAAAGCAGTTCAGTTAGCTTTGATATTCCTGTTGACTCGGCACGAGCATTACAAAAGTGAAATAAACATCAAAATAGGCTATCTGCCGAATTGCGAATCTAGAAGTTCGTATCTGTAGCTAGCTGTATCAGCCTGGGAATGAAAAAATGTAATAAAAGAAAAGATTAACTCACGGACTGATTTGTCTGTAACTAACATACTAACTAACTGACATAGGAGTTCACATCAAAGTACAGGCTGGAATTATGTCTTATTTTTCGGAAGAAAGAAGCTACAACAAAAACTTGTTTCTGCCACAGGGAGAAAAAAGGCATCAGCATTATTTGCCATCCATAAGTTATAAATATGAGTTATCATCAAAAAAAAGAATTCTAACACTGAAACGAATAAAAACTCAAAGTAAATGAGCAAACGCACTCCGAAAATTAACTGAAACTAAACAGCGTTCAAAACAAAAAGTTAAAACGAAATAAATAAAAACATAAAAACATGATATAGAAATACAAAACTATAGTAACTGCAGGTGGCAGTGCTGCATTACGTTACAGCATTAAACCTTTGAAGAGGCCGCATAAGCCTAATAATACTGCAGAGGGCAGTAACATGTCTGGAACTGTGCATGCGGCCAAAAAGAAGAAGAAGAAAAAGCTACACCAGACAGGAAGTGTTTGCTAATAGTCCCATGTGTTGCGCTTCTCCCGGTCATTCATTCGCGAAACGAAAAAATTACGGACTCGTTTTTCATGCATTCAGGCTTAATCGTGTTTTTAGGAACCGACTGTGTACTATTAATGATAGTAATAATATTTTCCAAATAAACTAAAGACAAAGCCTGCAGCATTTCTGCAGTAGCATTAGCTAGCTAACGCAGGAGTTGTGTTGTAGAAGTTTAGGAAATCTCATCAACATTTAAAGTGCGGTTTCTGGATGAATAGTTCCGTGGATACTAGCATGACCAAGGAAAACCGGTGGGACATACCCCCCAATGCTCCAGCGTGCATGGAGAGGCACCTGTGCGCGGCACAATACAGAGCAGGTAGGGAAAAGGAGCGCTAGCTGAAGGTTAACGTGTAAACACGTGGAGCCGCTAGTTGGTTATTATTAGTGTGTTTACATTTGTGCTAAACTGTTCAAGTCCTACGTTGGAAATGTTAAATAAATAACATTTTATGTTGAATACTAGTCAGAGTAATCTTAACTGGCAGGCGATGAATGAAAATATAGATATTTGAAGGGTTTTCTCGTTGGGTTTTCTCCACAGATGGCACCCTGCTACTTGGTGCCTCCAGCCTCTCTGGCAGAAGCTGGCAGGGATCTGTTTGGATCTACAGCGACCCTGACCAGGCCCCCAGTGAGGGATTCTGCAAAGCTGGTGTGCAGACTGAGGCTGGTGTCACAGATGTCAAATGGGTGTCAGAGAAGGGAATTATTGTTGCGTCAGATTCAGGTAATGAAATGTTTTTTATGGCAGATGAATCAAGCACACACTTGAGGCTTGTATGAAACTGGCCTCATTTTTCTGTGCAGGTGCCTTGGAGCTCTGGGAACTAGCAGAGGATGAATGTCTACTGGTTAATCGCTTTACCAAGCATGATCATGACCATATTGTCACCACAGTAAGCCCCGTGGTTGGAGCAACCGCTGCAGTCACTGGCAGCATGGACTGCAGGTTAGACTTGTTTTACATGAACATACATACACCATTCCACCTGTCACAACAGAGCAGAAGCAATGTTAATTGCTTTTGTTTCAAACTTTGGCTTAATTAATTTTTGAGTTGTCATCCCTTAAAGTGCATCTTTGCTTATTATTACAGAATTAAAGTCTGGGATCTAAGTCAGGAAACAGTTGTCACTACCTACAATGGTAAGCATCATCTTAACAGTTCTTCATACAGAAATGCACAAAACTTACAAAAATGCTTTTTTCCCCTCAATGTGGAAAAATAAAAGCAAAGAATGTTTATTTTTGGTAGCATTCCTGTATGTATAGATTTTAGATTAATTAATTTACCAAGGGTTTTTTTTTCTATTGCTGACATTACCAGACTATCCCAGTGTCATATTCCTATTGACTCTTTGGAACGATTAATTGCTGAAGGAAAGTTTTATATTAAAATGGTTTTAAAAAGCCAAAAATGTCATAAATGTCATTGATGTGAAAAGTTTAACTCAACAGTTCTTGGGTTTTTTCTTCCGCCAGTGCACACACAGCCAGTCACTTGTGTTGCCTGCAGTCCTACAGATGAGTCTCTGTTTCTCTCCTGTAGCCAAGTAAGATACTAATCAGCATGTTGTTTGCATTTTTGTCAGTGAGGTTTATTTTTTGGACCACAGAGCTGCAATCATTCAGATAAACTAAACTACTTCTTCTTCTCACCCCTTCTTTAGGACGGCCGTGTGTTGTTGTGGGACAGGAGGAAGCCCAACAAACCTGCATCAAGAATAGGTAAGCTACGTCACCAAGCTTTGATAACCACTTTTGCCAAACACTACTGCAAGAATAGTCGAGATTTGGAAGAGCTCCACAGGAAATTAAGTATGACAGAGAGTAAAATTTGTTCCAAAACAAACAGTTATGTTTACATATTTATGCCAGTACACACACTATGCAGCAGTCATTCACTCTGCAAATGTATATGTGCTAAAATAGGAGTATATACTAATACCTAGCAGGTAGAGACTATTGCACCTGCAATGGAGTTGATTCCTCCAAATACGCAGCCATTACCAAAGTAATCAATCCAAATCCAGAGCCTTAACTTTTCCCCCACATTTGGAGACTTTATCTGTCCTCCGAATGATGGATTTTGACACCTCCAAACCCATAAAGATGTGATTTCAGGACCATTATAGTAGTTTTCAGGTTTGTCCAGGAGTGGCTGCATAGGCAGAAACCACCCTCACTAACTTTAGATCCAGATCCCATCATTTAGTACTATAAGCAGGCCTGAAATATGACAGAAACCTCTCAGTTCACAAAAGAGCTTTAAGGGTTACTTTCAAGGGGTAAAGAGTTATATAGAATGCCTAATTAGCTACCTAGTGTTTGATTTTTGTCTGGATGATTAAAGAAGGAATTTGTCTTATTGTTCCTGGAATCTGTTTATAGGCTCTCTTGGAAATATGTCAGTGTCTATGCTGTACAGGATGTCCTGTGTAAGTAATGACAGATGGCAAGCGCATTCTCAGTTTCTGTTTTTGTTTTGCCTCAGATGTAGAGTCACCTAGCTGCTCCCCTACTTCTCTAGCTTGGCACCCTCACCACAGAAGCACCATTGCTTTTGGTAAGACGCTGCACTTGGTCATATTTGATTAAAAGCTGAGTTTAATTGAGAAAAAGTTGATTTCCTTTTTTTCTTTCACTCTCATCGTGTCTCAGGCGATGAGCTCGGCAGGGTGACTGTGAAAGATTTCCTGGGATCGGAGCCGTCTCAGGTGGAGAACATTCACAGCCGTAGAGTTAATGAGCTGGCCTTCTCCACACACAGGTAAATGTAAAGTGTGTCACGATCTCACCTTTGGCTTTATTGCTCTTTTACAAAATTCTGACGTCTTCCTTTTCTTCCCAGCACACCCTTGCTAGCCTCTGTTAGTGATGACTGTAGCGTTGCTGTTATGGACTCTGAACTGCGAGAAATGTGAGTGCTTGTACTTCATGCTGAAAGCATTTAGTTTGTTGTATTATTAAAAACACTAATCACATATTTGTTTGTAGACTCCGAGACCGGCGGCACCAGGACTATGTCAAAGGTGTGAGCTGGCTTCACAATGGCTCCTCCACCCTCACAACAGTAGGCTGGGATCATCTTGTGCTTCACCATAAAGTGGGTCCAGCTGATGGCATTCCCAGTTCCCCTTCTTAGACCGATCAGTTGGAAATTCACTGAAGGAAAGCACTGTTTTCCCCTCACTACTCTCCCCTCATTCCTGAGGTGTCATTTTGCAGAAATGAAAATCTATTGAAAGCTCTCACCTTAATTTAGCCCCCAAAAACCGCACAATATTGGGAATTCTACTCTCCTAGTCATGGTTTTTGTGCATTACTAACATAGAGAGCATAAAATGGACCTAGTTACATAGTGATGAGCGTTTCTGCTGTCCCCATCTTAGTTGTAAAAAATGGACATTCTACAGAGGGGCAGGTCTGATCTAAAATGCTTAGTCATTGGCTAGTGACGCGATTGACACGTCGTTAGCCACTAAGTGAGCTATTGAAGGGTATAGGAGGAATTCTGTAGGAGAGTCTTTTTGCAACTGCAGCTTTCGCCCTTAGGTGGTCTTCACATCAAATGTAGGCTTATAGCACTTTGACTTCATTTGATTAATTTTTCTGACCAGATAGCTGCGTCCATATTTTTATTCTCTCTATGACTACTAATCACATCACAGCCTCACTATCCACTTCTTTCATACTGTATAGTTTGTCTTTGTGTAACTGCATCAAAGCAGCACATTTGTATTGCAGAATTTTACATTAAAGGTAACTTAATGTTATCAGTGGCATCATTTGGTGTGTTCTTTGTGTTTACTGAGATCAGATATGATAAACTGTTACTACTGTGAGGTAGTGGGAATAAGAGGAGTTTTCAAGGATACACAAAGTGCAGTCAATAAGTTCCTCTTCCCCGAAAAGCCATAAACCTCAACCCCCTCCTTCAAGGTCATGTCCTTATGCACCTCTGCACTGCTTCCAGCACTGCAGCTATTTTGGAGTTGATACTTGGAATTCCTGTTAGGCTTTTAACTTGGAAATTCATTTTGTGGAAAAGGACAATAGTAGAAGGAAATACAACTTGGTTGTGAGTGAAAGTTTTTTATTTGAAAAGAATGCTTACCCAGGATGTTACAGTACAACTGTGCACTGACAGTGATGGTGTTTTACCCAGTAAATATAGGGGGGGAAAAAAAACAGGACAAAAATGCTCGACCTCAGACAAACCACTCTTAAATCTTCCAGATTCAGAATGGTTCACTTTGACGCAGAAGACATTTCAACACATGGGGTGGGACTTCAGTGAAGCCATCTAAAAATAAAAATAAATAGCAGAAGCAATGGCAGCCCCGGAGAAGCGATGAAGGAAACCATCTTGAGTAGCATAGTAGCTAAATTGAGTATGTTTCTTATTTTATTGGTGGAACTTTTTGATCACATGCCCTGTAAATATAAACCACTGTGTTGGTAAGGATGTGGCTGACGCAGACCCCAGTCATTCACTAACAGTGTCAATGTGAGGTCTGATGTAGATAATAATGATCTATAACTTTTGGTACATTTAAGGCCTTTCATGGAGGTCTGTTGAATTACATGTGCTTTGATGTGTTTTGGTTATTTGCGTCAAAAACCACAAAAAACGCCTAATAATTAAATCTAAATTTCTTCGTTAGCAGAATCTTGGAATTATTTGGAATTAATTGCGTGATGCTATTTGGGACAATTCTTAGGAGGGAAAAAAAAACTTAAACCAGTTCTTCAGCTAGCTTATATCTTACTTTAATACAAAAAAATCTGCACACAAGCTCCTACATGATCTGGAGTTGGCACACAGGTTCTTCATGGGGCCCTGACGATTCTTGTTTATATAAAATATTATGAGGTCATCATGTTGCCTAGCAGCCACCTGACAATGTGGCACAATGACACATTTGTAGCTTTTATGCACCTACAAGAGCCTTATAAAAGTATTGTATCATTTTAATTTCACAACAGTAACACATAATTTATATCCCAAAAACTAAGCATGACATATTACGATGATGTCACACTGTCTAGCAACCACCTAACAACAAACTAAAGCCACAAACTAAACAATACTGCACCCTGGGAATTTACCAGTATATTAAATCTGCACTTACATTCTGAGCCACAGCTAAAAGCTTTAATTACTAGGATGATGCAAATCACTGCAGTGTTTTTACATACAATTGAGTACACATGCAAGCCATGTGTACTCAGCAATTTGTTACATTTATTTCCTACTTAGAGTTGAATGTCTTAATTTGATGACTTTCTATATACAACTTTAACATGTACATATAACTACATCTTGCAATGTCCAAATGTGATTTTCATATTATACAAATTGATATCTCCATGAATAACAATGTATACGTAACTAGATTAACACTCTTTATCGTAGTGGTATAGAAAATCCAATACAAACCATAAAGGATTTTTTGGGATAAATGTGAGAATCACACTAGACCCCTACTACTCTGCGCCATAAGACTTTCATAATCGAGATGTAACAGTGAAAGAACATTTCCCATTATTTGGCAGGTAATTACAGCATGAAATAATAACAGTTATGCTCCAAATTACTATATTTTACAATTAAATTTTCTCATTGTTTTATAAAAGACTTTTAAAAAACTTTTACCTTTTTTTATTTGAATATTAATGGAGTTTTCCTATACAATAACATTACCCAAAGCTATGGTTAAAAAGTCAACATATAGCAAAATATAGCTTAAGACTAAATAATTAGCAGCAACTACACAAATGTTTAAAACGTTCTTTCTGACTGTGACACAATGGAAAAGAAAACACCATTTGACAGTGACTGTGTCGTGTTTGTCTTTATGATTCGGCAGTCCTTTGTCAACAGGCAGTCTTAACATATTTGCTACCCAGTGTGTAAATAACCTGTGTGAAGCCTTCTTTTTCAGCTGTGGTCCACACTGCTGCTGATAAAAGTGTAGTTTCACACACGTTGTGTCCCATAGTCTGTGTTGAAGGTCTCAACATGTCCAAGAATCGAAAGACCCTTAATAATCTCCGCTACTCATGATAAGTAATAGGATTTTTGGTTCCAGGCCGAACTGTGAAAGTCATACCATGTTGATATTTAGACTTCGGCCCATTGCTGAAAAGAAGAACATTTTATGTATGAATATATTAGCCAACCAGTGAGTTTTGGCATCTTAAAAAGTCAATGTGTGACATTTGAGCATGACAGTCTTACCTGGTCAAAGCTTTTGTTGGCGAGTTATCTGGATATTTTTTGTTCACTTGACGCTGCAGCTCCCTCATGTCCAGAGTTGCTGCTTTCTGGTGATATTTGGTAGTTGGTGATTTGAGCTGGTCATTGGACTCCCATTCATCAGAGGAAGGCTCTACATCTTCCTTTTGGTGGGAAATTTTGGGGGCCATTTCCTCCAGCTTCTTTTTTAGGATGCACTGGAGATCAAAATGTCTTTGTTCCAGAGTGCGTGCTGGCTGAGTGGAGTCTGGCTTGGGTTTTGTCTGGACTTGTGTCTTTGGTTGGACATTAGGAGGTGGGTGGTTCAGAGGAGGAGGAGGTGGAATTGAAGCTGGAGGTGCTGTATTCAGAGGAGGAGGTGGAACTGAAGCTGGAGGTGCTGTCTTCAGAGGAGGAGGTGGAATTGAAGCTGTAGGTGCTGTCTTCAGAGGAGGAGGTGGAATTGAAGAGGGAGGTGCTGTCTTCAGAGGAGGAGGTGGAATTGAAGAGGGAGGTGCTGTCTTCAGAGAAGGAGGTGGAATTGAAGAGGGAGGTGCTGTCTTCAGAGGAGGAGGTGGAATTGAAGCTGTAGGTGCTGTCTTCAGAGGAGGAGGTGGAATTGAAGCTGTAGGTGCTGTCTTCAGAGGAGGAGGTGGAACTGAAGAGGGAGGTGCTGTCTTCAGAGGAGGAGGTGGAATTGAAGCTGTAGGTGCTGTCTTCAGAGGAGGAGGTGGAACTGAAGAGGGAGGACTTGCAGAGGGTTGTGTCTTATTCAAAGGATACTGAACTGAGGCAGGGGAAAGAGAGGTTACAGGTGGTGACGGTGCCTTTTTTGTGGGAGGGTCCGGTGGAATGATGGAAGGTGGCAGGTCCATAATCTTGCTTAAATCATCAAACTCTGGTGGTGGAGGCAGTAATGGCATGCTGAACCCATCTTTATTGCCCTCAGGTTGTGGAGTCTGAGACAGTGAGCTGCTTTGATATGCCTTTTGTCTCTCCTCTGCTTTTTTGCTAACAGCAGGGGTTTCTATGATCCTGTTGAGAGCTGGACTGGTAGATGGTGCCTGACCATTGACCAGGGCATGACTGCTTGAAGTTTCAGGAGCATCATTTGTTTGTGGACGGTCTACTGGACTGAAGGATTTTGGAGTCTCTGGTAATATTTTTTCTGTCAGTTTTACAGCTGAAGAGCCAGAACTTGAAAGGTCACTTGAGTGAATACTTGGCTGCTCATTGTTCTTTCCACTGTTTTCCTGTGAAACAGAGTGCGTCGTTCTGTTTTTCTCTCTTTCTTTAGCTGCCTTTAGAAGAGCCAGCGGAGAAGCTGCATTCCCGTCTCGTGCTCCATGGGTTTCACTTCCTTTCAGGTTACGTAGTTTGTGATCCAATATCGGACTGTATTTCTGGTTTGGATTTTGATACCGTACAGGTTTGACTGGGGTTGGACTTTGGTACTCTCTAGGATTTTCTGCTTTTGGACTTTCTGCTTTTGGACCTTGGTTCTCTCCAAGTTTGTCCTTGCTTGTCTCTAAATTAATCTGAGTATTGTCAACTTTATCAAGCTGTAGAGACTTCTGAGGCGGTGGCTGTACTGGTTTGGTTATTTCTGGTTGCACTGAAATTGTCTCTGTTTTAGCCTTTGTCTTAGTCTCTGTCTTAGTCACTGTCTTTTGCTCAAATAGGGTAGATTCAGAAGGTTGGGCAACTTGTAAATTCTCCTCCAGCTCCTTTACAATGGGAACTGGTTTAGATAGTGTAGGCACTTTGGGAGCATTACCGTCCACCTTGACGAGAACAGGGCCAGAGCTGGAAGACCCGGAATCTTCCAGGAGTAACATGTGCTTAGGTTTTTTGTCACGGTCTTCAAACACATTGAGAAATGAGGTCTTAGGAGCAGTGTTAACCTTTGCTGTGTTTTGGGGATTGAAAGTGGACAATGTGGGTGTCTGCACAGGGGGTGGTGGTGCAGGAGTCTGTGGGGGGGAGTCAGAGTTGGAGACTGAGGAAATTCTAATGGGCTTTGGAGGAGGTTTCTTCTGAGTCTTCTGTTGCCTTTCAGTAGGGGGCTGTGGGGCGGCAAATTTTGGATGCTCTGGAACTTGAGCTGATGGTGGACTAGAGATGGGTATGGATGATGGAGAGCCAGTAGAAGTGGTAGATGGAGGCTTTGGTGGAGCCATTGGTGGTGGTTTTAGGAAGGATAAATCCTTTGGTTCTACTGAAGGAGGGTTTGGTGCGGGCATGGAAGGAGGCTGTATGGTTGCTAGGTCTAGAGTGTTTAAGTCACCCAGGAAGTCTGGTGGAGGTGGAATCCATTCACTTGGAGGTGGTGGAGGTGCTACAGAAGGAGGAGGAGGAACAAATATTTCCCCTTTATCAAGGTTAGGCACTGAAGTAATGGAGCCATTGGACAATGGATCCCAACCAACTGTGGATGAGAAGACAGGACAAATGAGAAAGGTTTTTGCAGAAACAGACACAGTATTCAAATATGCAAACTTGCTGCATAAATAAGAGACTAAAATTGAAATCCGTCTGTTTCATTTAAAGAGTGCAATTCATTTGTGCATATAATATGCAATAATAAGAATATTATTAAAGAGGCAGAAACGATTATAAAGAATAAGAAAATTCTTTATAAAGCTTTAAATTCAGCTTTCTTACATAAATTTAGAATTGTTAAAAAAGGAAATAAAAGAAGTAAATGGTTTCCACTTATTATTGAGAATGCTAACACTCCCATTATGTAAATATATTTGGCATCTGGTATGACCGTTTGGACATTTTCAGGGGGAGTTATTGAGCAATGCCCGAGCAAACATTAACCTGCCCTCCTTTTTTTCCTCTTTATTTTGATTGCTGTGATCCATCAACCGAGTCTGAGCAAAAGCCCCACAAGTTATGTGGACTTTTTAGGGTCTAATTAATGGGATTCTTGCCTTTTAGTCAAGTTAAACCTAAAGTACATATTGGAAGGTAGCTAGATGCTCACCTGAACCGTTGGTCTTTGGACCATTGACAGGGGGCAGGAGAGGGACTTTCGGCATTGGGACAGCAAAGCCTTGGAAACTCTCAGACAAGGACTGCGAGGGAAGAAAATTAAACACCATCAGACTTGATTTTTCAAACCTCTTAACACAAGAGACAAAGATCAACAGTAAAATTGCGATAAGGCTATATACTGTAGCCTGTATGTACAGAGATTTTTGTCTGGCAAGTATTTGGTCTTGAGGTGCACAAACCAGTTCTCAACTATATCAGCTCTCAGTGTTCCTTGAAAACAGGTTGGCCTGTGCAATGCTTGCAGCATTTTTAGCGTCAGCAGAACTGAAGTAGCTGCCAAAATCATTTCAATGTGCTGTTACGTGAAAATTCTATGATGGTGGTTTACGGTGCCTTATGTTCACAAAATTAAGTACTAAATATGTCAGACTGCTTTGCAGCAACTTAGGTACATGTCTAACCTTTAGGCTTCTTCAACATAAAACAGCTAGAGGTTTAAAAAAAATAAAAGAAAACACGTTTGCATACTTGAGTGATGAGAAATATTTGGTGAATCAGAGGATACACCTATTATTCATCACATTGTCTAAGATGGGCCTGGCTGAGAAAACTGCGTGTTACTTAGATACATGGGTGTTTTATGTTGTAGGCAAGAGGGGCAAAATAGAGGAAGAGTTATGGAAAGTACGTTGCTGTTCTCTCTACGACACCAAATAAATAGAGACTGTGTTGACACAATACAAATCTAAGAAACTTGGAAAGTTATATGTCCTTCAAATGGGCAGATATTCAGTCCAGGAATACATAACAGCTGTATCCTTTTGATCTTAGTCTGCTGCAGACCATTTGAGGAGGAAAGCAACAAGGACATTTTTAACTGGACTCAATTTATGCCCTAAGAGCTCCCCTTATACCACGTTTCAGCCATGCTGATTGTATGCAGTAATGAATTAAATCAGCATCAATAGATAAGAATAAAAATCTTCAGTTTCAGGCAGCTGCTGTCCTAAAAGATATATCACACCTTGAATAACACCCTCTTTTGCTAATAATCCCAGTTGCGTAGCTATTTGGAAAGGTATGAAAACTGCATCACGGAGCGAGGGCGTGCCATTAAAGACAGCGTATGATCCAGTTTGATTCCATCTCGCCTTTTCTCCGCGCTATGAGTCACGTTCATCTGTCGCAGCGCTCAGAGCTGTCCTGCCCATGTGCTGCAGGGTGTGCCGCATCCACATGCCACAGACACATTCACAGAACACTCCCAGAAAACACTGAGCTGAGGTGTGTGAACCAAGTGCTCAGATGAGCTTTGCATTTTTGTCTGCAACATGACAATGCAATGGGAGACTTTAAGTGCAAGACTAAATTGTAATTGACTTGCTCTAATGTCTTATGGCAACTTTGGCAGCTGTAGCTTTTGTGCGCAGCGTGATGTGACCTGCAGAAGATCATTGATCATGTTTTCTGCAAATTACCTGTTGAGACAGCATCGCTGTGAGATATGTCGTTTTTTTGTAGTCATATTTCATGTCATTCTAAAAAAAGAAATGAGCATTATCACTCCCACATGAGATACTGGAAGAAAATAAGTCGTGATCTCTCTGTGGAGACTTTTACTGTGCGGACCACGTCACACATCAGATTGCACGAGTAAATAAACTCTTTAAACACTAAACTGTCAGCTATCAGTTCATTTGCATCTGCAGGCGCAGGGTTTGAGACTGAATAAAATGGTGGAGCTGTTCACATGCAAATCTTATTCATTAAATTCCATTTTATGTAGTGTCAAATCACAACAGTTGCCCCAAAGGGCTTTACATTGTAAGGTAAAGACCCGACAATAATACAGGGAAAACCCCAGTAATCAGATGACCCCCTATTAGCAAGTAGTTGGTGTCAGTGGGAAGGAAAAACTCCCTTTTAACAGGAAGAAGCCTCTGGCAGGCTCTGAGAGAGGCAGCCATCTGCTGTGACTGATTATGGTGAGGGTAGAGAGACAGGAGACACGTAAAACATGTCATTTCAATTTCAGAAACTGGGTAATGAACGTAAAAATTGATGTGAACCACATGGTTTCACAGAGATACTCACAGCACCATGCTTCACTGTGGGTCTAGCTCGCACACTTGCAGTCCCTGACTCATGAGTTGCAGATGACCCCAGGACCAACTCTACATTGTCTGTGAAAAAGAAAAAAGTAGATCATTAATATCCAGCAAAGCAAGTTCTGGTAGCAAAGCAAGTTCAATTGAATTGATTCAGCTATTAAATTACTAATCAAATCTTCATCATTAATCTGCCAGTCAAGGCCAAAACAATGATGTTGTACACTTGCAGTGTGCAGGTAATGAGATACTGTGTGCATCCAAGTGTCCTCTAAGTAGCTGTCAGTCAGACTAATAATCTGCTGTGTGGCCGTTGGTTGTTGACAACAAAATAGCTATGCACAACTGAGCCGATGATTGCAGTCTAAGTCCACCATTGTGTTTAAGGGAAAACAGTTATGGTGCCAACTGAAATCCATTGCACCACCTTCTGCTTGCTGTACAACACCACAATGTTTATCATATAGCCAGACGTAAATAGTTTATCTGTCGCAAAGCCTGGAAGAATGAATTCAAGGTTTATTCTTGGGGGAAAAACTCGCTTTAACTGTGTTCACTCTTTGAGAGGAGCTTCATAACATGCAGCCAATGTTGCTGCTTTTATGTTGCATAACCCTTTGTTCTTTAAACAAACAGTGCCACACAATGATCGTCCATTCTTAAGTCAAAGTGGTTAAGAGACCAGTTGCATTTGTCTTTCATGTCAGTGGAAAAGCCTGGTTTTTCTGTATGTATCTAAGTCACGGGATGACACAAGACACTCAATGATGACTTAAAAGTGCACCGAGGAAGAGACCCGAAACATGACCATAGTCATTTTCAGATGTGGAAGACAAGCAATAACATTCCTGGGAAACTGATGATTTGAGAACGTAAACCTAGAAGTCACACCTTTGTTCCAGTATGACACTGACTGCTGAAAGACACTTGTCACTTGAAGATTCTTACTCTATGTGTTCATTTAGCTTTCTATTACAAAAGCAGACACAAGAAGCAGCGTGACAGAGGAGCCTGTCATAATAGACAAGGAAAGGGAACTGTTTTCCCACCTATTCCCAGTAGTCACAGGGTGTAGGTCCTCATAGCTTTTATGCACTTCTGTGTCATTTCAGAAAAATGTGGGAACTACAGAATGAATTGGCTGCGGTATTAAACCAGTCTAAGCAAATGATTCGTTTTTCTTATTGCGCCCCTTTCTGATTTAAATAGGCAAATGATCTCTCCTGTGTTGCAGCTTTGCATAGAAATTGTCCTCTCCTTTTCTGCTTTCACTAGTCAAATTCCACTAATGTCACTTAGAGCTTATCAGTAAACTGACATCAGTGTGTGAAAGTAATATTTTTATTATTAAGCTATTAACTTGTGTTTCCTTTTTTTAAGGCTTTAAACTGCATCACACACTCTTGCTCAGCAGATGGAGCTTGCCCAGCTGTTGTACTATGGAAATATGCTGTTATGCATTGTTGTGGCCAGAAGAGTGAATTTGTTTGTGTCAGGTAAATAAAAGTACCGGTAACAGATTTCTGTTTTCATCTATAACACCGTGGATTGTATGTCTAAGAGTAGCTGACTCATATGAAATACACCCAAGGTACACATTTAGCTATTCTAGATGAAAACTTCAGTTTTGTCTGAGAAATCTTAACTTGGATCAAAGTGAACACAGTCTGAAGAGGACCCAGACTCTTGGATTTAAAATATGGATTTACTTTTGTTAAAAACACCGAACAAAATTCATAGATGACACCTGCTGCTACTTGTTTAAAGCACCTGAAGGATTCACTCCTGTCAGCACGTCTAAAGTTTGGAGCTTGGTGGAAACATATGTGTCCTATTGCAACACCAAGTCCAAAGGTCGTGCTGCTCTTCGCTGTAGGCGTAGATACCTGCTCTTATAAACAGACCGCACTAGACTCTACTCACCCATCTCCTGCATTTTGACATTGGTGTCGAATAGAGAATGATTCTTTCGACCCAGAAAATTCAGCGACCCCTTCTTCATTGTTATTGATTAGTTGATGCGTAGCTACGATTCTCGGCTTCAGCGGATCATTGGCGCATTCTCGCCGGCAGGTAAATCCGGGATAAACCGCAAACGTGCTGCTCTGAATGACGGCGTTTCTCCAGGTACACCTGACTCCAGTGATTTGGTGCAAACTTCTCAGACAGACAGAGAAAATGGAGCAAACCCCGCCCACTCGCCTTTCATTGTGCCTCCCTGTTTCTGACTGTACAGCAGCAGCAGGTGAGGCCCTCGGCTCTCCTTACATTCCAGCGCAAACCTCACCTGTGGAAAGAATCAGGTCCTTTAATCACAGGTTTGCTTACGTTAATGGCCTGTACTCTCACTGTTTGATGAGTCAGCCATCCGCATCCGAGCTTTAGCGCACTGGTCTACCTGTATCTCTAAATCTGGGACGAAGTGATCACATTAAAATGCTCAGGAACGCGGGTGAACTTTAATAGCATCTTAATCAAAAAAGACAACAGGGGTTTATTGCATGTAGGTCACTGCTATTATGGTCATAAATGTAAACAAAGAGTAAAATAAAACAAAGCATGTGAACACGTCGAAACATTTTAGTATCCTATTTTTATTTTATTTTATTTTATTTTTTGCTTATGCTTAAAAATTTGATCCAAGAAATGTATAAACCTAATAATGAGATTGTAAAGTGTGCTTGATTAAATCATTCAAAATGAATTAAAAGCCACAACATTAAATAAACTGGTTCTCTTTAAGGATGTAGACTAATACTGAAAGGGCTCCTTCTATCTCCCGGTGATTTTACATTTAATAGAGTACATTTTGCTGATTGCACTTGTCACGGTTCTGGGTCAGTTTCGACCCAGTATTTTGAGTTTTAATTGATTAGTTTATTTTTGAATGTTTATTGTGGTTTTGGGCGCTATGAGTATTATTATTATAATGATTATTATTATTAGAATTCTATGTTTCTGTTTATTCATGTTTAAGGATTTGTTCTCGGTTGTATCTCACGTTTAGTTTAGTTCAAGTTCCATGTGTCATTCTGTCTGTCTCTCAGTGTCAGGTCTGCGTCTTGGTGTAGTGTTCTCGTTTCCTGTTTTATTGTGAAGGCCTGCGTCTCGTGTGAGTGTGTTCAGTTTTACCTCTGTCTCGTCTTGTTGATTATTCCCAGCTGTGTCCACCACCTGTGTGTGATTCCCCCGTGTTTCTCTGTGTGTATTTAAGTCGTGTCCTCTGTCATTATAGTTGCTGGTCCGTCTGTGTATTCCACCATGTTTCATCCGTGTGTTCCCTGCCGTCACCATCTTGTACCGTCGTCCACCTTGCTTTATGTTCGTGTTCATGCTCTGTAGTTTAGTTGTCCCAGTATAGTTTAGTTCTCCGTTTTGTCGTTTGCCTCTCTATATTTTTGTGTCAATAAATCACCTTCAGACCGTCACGACTGCCTGCGCTTGGATCCTCTTTTTCCTTTTTTTCACACGGCTCTTCTCACTCGCCGTGACAGCACTTTTGCTTGAGTACCATTTCACCTGCAACGGGGTATTTTATAGTGTGCTGTTGCTGCTTTTATGTACATGATTAATTATTTCCCTATCTGTGTGTCTTGCATGTGCACCTAAAACAATTGTTATGACATATGAATATAGTTTAAAGTCTGAAAAATAAAATCAATTATCAAAGTGAAACCATTGTTTATGGTAACCTTCCTTTTTAGATCAAAAATTCTTGAAGAGCAGCTATTAAAAAGTTAGGCCTAACTGACTGTTTACAAAGGAATGGTTTATTTGAAGAGTTTCACAGAAACGGCACTAGTGAAGGTTACAAATGATCTTTTTACATCCTTTTATAATGGACTCATCTCTGTGCTTGCCCTGGTAGATCTCAGTGCAGTGTTCAGTACCAGTACTGACCATAAAACGCTACTACTGAGATTAGAACACACACTTGGTATTAAAGGAACTGCGCTGCAGTGGCCTGAATTTAATCTGGCTGATAGATAACTATATACGTTTTCATGGCTATGCAGATGATATCCAGCTTTATCTATGCATGAAGTTTCGTCTTGATGCATTCTCAATCATCCGGGAAAGTAAATCTCCAAAAAGTTGATTCTGTTCATCTGGACGTAGTGTTTTGTGGGAGAAACATTTTGTCACTCATCCAAGTGACTTCTTCAGTCTCAGCTGACTGCAGGTTTCCCCAATCTTATAAACAGTACATTTGCATGATGACTGAAACCAGCCAACTGAAGGAACAATGGGATGGATGGTCATTCCTTAATCTTAATTATGCAAATTCTCATGACCATTGATCAACAACCACTGACCAAAACCCACTGATCAATGGCCATGAGATGAAACGTTTGTCCCACAAAACGCTACGTCCAGATGAACAGAATCAACTTTTTGGAGATATGCATGAAGTTGATACACGTCAACTAATTAAACTTCAGGCCTGTCTTGAAAACACAAAAACCTTGATAGCCTATAATTTCCTGCTTCTAAATTTAAACAAAATTGAGGTCGCTGTACTCTGCCTTACTTTAAAAAATATTACCTTTGCCTTCAATACCACTGTGAGGAATCTTGGAGTAATTTATGACCAGGATATTTGGTTCAGTGAGCACATTATACAAATATGTAGAACTGCCTTCATTCTTTTGCGCAGTATGTCTAAAATGAGAAACATCCTGTCTCAGAGTGATGCTGAAAAACTAGTTTATGTATTTATTACTGGTAGGCTGGACAATTGTTGATTATTCTCCCATATTGACTTAACTTCACTACTGGATTTCTCTTACATTCAGAATCAAATTTAGAATCCTTGTCTTCAGATACAAATTCTTGAATAATCAGGCGCCATCATATCTTAAAGACCTCACAGTAGCTTATTATCCTCTGGCTGTCCCTCTCTGATCCTGGTAAAAGGAGTTTTTTTTTTCTCCCCACTCTCACCAAGTGCTTGCTCATAGGGGCTTGTCTAATTGCTCTGTTAGCAGGGGTGTCAAAATCATTTTACATTGTAGGCCACATACAGCACATGATGATCTCATGTGAGCCGGACCAGTGAAACTCCTCTTTCTGCCAGTGTACAGAAATTTAAGCAGATATCCCTAAGATATCTTAAAATTAAAAAGAAGTCCTATTTCAATAGTATCTCTTCCTTTTTCCTTCCTTCCATTTTTTTCAAGATTCAAAGATTCAAAGTGTTTATTGTCATGTGTACAGAAGAAATAGCATTTCTCTGTGCAATGAAATTCTTTCTTTGCTGTCCATACACAAATGCCAAGTTAGGTAGGGTTGAAGGAACAACATAAATAAGGATAAAAAAAAAAAAGACAAGATATTAAGATAAATAAGGTAAAAAAGGATAAAAAAAAATAGTGAAAGATAAATAAGTAAATGAAGACAAGTGAGTTAAGCAGTTGTTAATGTCAAAGGATATACAAAGGAGCTTAATGTGCAAAGTGAACTTAGTGTGCAAATTGTCCTGATGTGCAAATTGCAGTTGAGGTAGGTCAGCTGTTCAGGAGTCTGATAGCAGTTGGGAAGAAGGAGTAAATAAAATAAATCTGTCAGCACAACGTTTTGGACTTAAATTGTAAGAATAACTTTTACTACATAAATAAAACCAAACTGCACTGAACTGAAATCATAAAAAAAAAATTTCTTCATTCCTGTTTCAGTCACATTGGTGATCCAGTCAGAGAGTGACTGAAGAAAGACATTTGTCACTTAAAGATTCTTACTCTATGTGTTCATTCAGCTTTCTGTTAGACAAGCTGAGACAGGAACCAGAGTGACAGATGAGCCTGCCATAAAAAACAAGGAAAGAAAAACATATTTCCATCACAAGGTATAGGCATCATAATGTCCTCATAGTTTCCACTTTGAAGCAAAAATGTGTCACATGTGATTTACAGGTAGACCTAAAATACATTTCTGACATAGAAATATAAAACAAACATTATTAAAGAACAACATAAATCACAGTAATTGAAGTTTTAAAAATGCTATGGTGTGTGGAAGCTAAAATAAAGTCTAATATAGATAAAGCAAAGATATGATGACACTATAACGTGTTGTAAAAGTAATCAACTTTTTCTCTCCATTAATGTATGCAAGGTGCTTGAACAAAACAAATCACAAGAGTTATATTCAACCCTCTGGATAATTGTTCAGTTAGCTATTAGCTCACGTTGGAACATTACATTTGTGTGATAAATGCATGTTTTTAATCTTAAATAAATCTTTGATATTACTGAAGGAAAACCTTCATTCCTTGGTGTGACTTTCTTGAGGATAGTGAAGGATGAGAAACGTGGAAGCAGGATACTCATAAATTTGATTTTGGCTAAAAGGGGTCAAAAGTCTTAAACAGATGAGCTAACCCCTTAAAGTAACCTGTAACAGCATTTTATCTCTGCATCACAGTTTAACAACCTGTGGGTATTTGGGGTTGATTACAGCTGGTAGCAGAGTAATAATTTGTAGAAGTATGTTTCCTTTACACTGATATTCAGTTTTATAAAACACTTTATACTTTTTACTTTGTATTTCATAACATTTTAGAAGGATTTAATTTGTGGTGCTCATATAGTCAATTCAAAGCTGCAGTTACTCGTTGTTATTAATATACACTGTTATCAGTATATTGGTACCACTTTACAATAAGGCTCCCCTTATAGATGCTAATAAATAGTTTATAGCTATATTATTAATTAATTTGTAAATGCTTTATAAACCATTATTAATGGTTTATTATGCATTAGTTAAGGGTGAGAAAAGGAAAAAAACTGACCGGTTTCTTGCCAAATAGTGAGCCAAATGTGTTCACCTATATTCATCTAGATTGCTATATTAAACATTTCAGACTAAGTTACTATCCTGTAAGCACAATCAGCATTTGTAAACATATTTTTTATCATATAAAATTGTACTTCAGAAATGCATTATAAATATCCACAACTATCAATCGGAGCTTTGTTGTAAAGTGTAAAGCATAAAACCATTTATTATGAATAATAAATATTATAAATGCCAAATGGGAGCCTTATTGTAAAGTGTAAAGCATAACACCATTTATTTATGACTAATAAACATTTATAAATGCCAAATGGGAGCCTTATTGTAAAGTGTAAAGCATAACACCATTTATTAATGACTAATAAACATAAATGACAAAAGAGAGTTTTGTTGTAAAGTTTAAAACATGTCAACATTTATTAAGGACTAATAAACATTTATAAATGCCAAATGGGAGCCTTATTGTAAAGTGTAAAGCATAACACCATTTATTAATCACTAATAAACATTTATAAATGACAAAAGATAGCTTTGTCGTAAAGTTTAAAACATGTCAACATTTATTAATCACTAATAAACATTTATAAATGCCAAAAGTGAGTCTTAAATGGGCAGTGGGCAGGGATAGCTCAGTAGGTAAAGTGGTCGCCCCATGATCGGAAGGTCGGCGGTTCGAATCCACTTAACGGCCCCTGAGGTACCCCTGAGCAAGGTACCGTCCCTACACACTGCTCCCCGGGCGCCTGCTTAGTGGGCTGCCCACTGCTTCACTGAGTGAATGGGTCAAATGCAGAGAAAAACAAGTAATTTCCCCATGGGGATCAATAAAGTATCCATTATTATTATTATTATTATTAAATGTATAATGTCACCATTTATAACACTTAGACCTAAATTACAATCAGTGCTTGAAATAACATTTAACTACTGTCAAAAATGGCAATGTATTGTAAGAGTAACACATGTAAAATTAAATGTGTTTTTTAAAACACCAAACAGTCACCCACTCCAAAAAAAGTTCATGCCAGACTGGTTCAAACTGGAAATATTTTTTGTATGTCCTTAAATAAGCGTCCCAGTGGTCCATCAGGGTGTCGCGAACCAAGCCAAGATGACCACTCAAGAACCATCAGGTGTTCCTCCAGCAACTTCTCAGTGCGATTTCCTCTTAGTCTACGGACATGTCCTTTGATGGTCATCCAAGCCCTTTCGATATGCTGTGTATGACTGCCAGATTGAGGATCTACAAACCACCTGCTGTGATTTACAGTGTAATGTCTGTACCCTATGTTTGTCAAAACATTCTTGTAGGCTCTCCACTCATCACTGATAATGGCACTACCCAACTTAACATGCTGTCTGATCAG